GCCCTGGCAAGTTCAACGTGCTAGCCGATGCTCTGTCACGTTTCCCGACCGAACCGGCAGACACCAGTTTCCTGGTCGTGCAAGCGATCTCCTGTGCTGACGGTCTACTACCTGATCAACGACGCAAGATTGCCGCCAAGACAGCCCAGGACGAGACGCTATGTGCAGTGCGCCAAGCTCTCCTGACTGACAAATGGCCGTCGACCTCCGCAGTGGCACCGTACCGTGGTCTTCGCCACGAGTTGAGTGTATGGCCGTACCCTAAGACTGACGACTTTGTCATCTTGCGAGGGGAGAGGTTAGTCATCCCAGAGTGTTGTGTGCCGGAGGTACTCGAGCTGGCACATGATGGGCATCCCGGCATCCCGAAAACCAAGGCACGCCTGCAGGAGTCAGTGTGGTGGCCTGGTTGGGCCAACGCAGCGAAGCGGCACGTGCAAAGCTGCGAGCCATGTGCGCTCGAAGCTCGACCGACAAAGGTACCTCTGCAGCCCAGAGAGCTACCACCACGGCCCTGGCACACGGTTGCCATTGACATTTTCTACTATGGTGGAAAGGCGTTTCTGAGTGTGATGGATTTGTACTCCCGCTATCCACTCGTTGCAGAACTAACCGGCGAGACGTCCTCGCGGGTGGTGACAGCGCTTCGCGCTATGTTCACCATGTTCGGGTATCCAGTGCGCGTCATCTCGGACAACGGTCCCCAGTTCGTCAGTGCAGAGACCGCAGCCCAGCTTCGTGACTGGGGCATCCAGCACGAGCGTATTGTCCCGTACACCCCAAGGCAAAACCCGGTAGAGCGTTTGCACCAGACACTCAAGCGCCATCTCAGAAAGTCATCGCAGGCGTCCCTCAAGCGAGCGATGCAAGAGTCGCTCGGTACCCTCCGCTCCACGGTGAATGCCACCACAGGGCATGCTCCGGCAGATCTGTTCCTGCGCGGTGGATTCCGCACGCAGTTGAAAGCTCTGCGCTGCCCCGGTTCAGAATCTGAGGAAGAGGACGATGACGAACTGGATGAAGCCGTTAGAGTGCGAGAAGCTGCAGTGAAGGCCTCTGTCAAGGACAGGTATGACACACAGCATCACACCGCTCCACGTCACTTGGCAGAAGGTGACGCAGTCTTTGTACAGCAAGCCTCCAGCGCGACAGAGAGAGCCACAGTGTTAGAGGCTAATGCTCATGAAGCCACCGTCGAGACCGAGGGTGGTGCCGTCCAGCGCCGTCATCTTGATCAGGTGAAGCCGTGCCGCGCTACGCCCGCCTCAGCGGACACCGAAGTTCCCATGCCGGTCCAGGAAGCGACCGATGTCACAACGCGTCGATCCGACCGAGCCAAGAAGCAGCCTGATAGGCTCAACCTGTAAACTGCTAGTCCCTCCTGCTTTGAAAGAAGGGGAGGTATGTTGAGGTTCGACCTCAACTAACTGAACTGCTACTGATCTGCATGATATCAGTCGCCATGTATCTAACTTTGCATTGTCGTCACTACCTACGTGTAGTGCACTGTTAGCTGTGTTTTAGTGTCGCGCGGTATCTGCGTGTCACGTGTTTATTGCTTTGCGCGGGCTTTTCCATACTTCGAGTGAGTGGTGAGTTTGTGCTGAGGGAGTTCTAGAGAGAGAGAGTTGGAATGGCGGACATGGTTTTTCGAGTGGTTTTCCCTTTTGCTTTTGTCTTGTAGTATTGTCTGAGATCATGATAGTCTAAGTAAGAGATATCTCAGAACCCATCCAGTTGTTGTCTAACAGTCTGCGAACGAGCCCAACTTCAATGTCTCAGCCAGAGCAAAGACCATCTTCTGTGCTGACTCCATTCCATCTTTAACGGATGATGTTTTCTTCGACCAACCAACGCCTGTTTCAACATGAGCGAGGTACTTTTCCTTGGCGTTCTGAAACCGGGCATGTACTCGAACGAACTCCTTGAACTCGGTCATAAAGCAGGCCTGTTCGACAACCTCACGGGTCAGCAGCTTTTCAGCGCTAATGCCAACGGACTCCAGAAAGGTAGTCTCAGCATTCGATGTGGGGGCAGTCAAAGGCATCTCAACGGGAGTAACAACATTCGTTGCAGCAGCAGCAGGAGTTACGGAAGAGGTCGATTCGACCACCACACAGTCGGGTGATTCTGGCCGCTGAATGCCCAGCCATGACTGGCTGCTCTCTTGGGCCGCTTTCCATTTGCCAACCTCAGCAACGAACTCGCGGACACCGGCTTCATTGTCCTTTAGACTACTCTATTTTGCCTGCGCTTGTCGAACAACATGTGCACGGACTGCGCCATCACCATAACGTTCCACGAACGCATCAATGAACTCTTCGTATGAAGAGGGATTCGACTTTTTGTAAATTCCTGTATCGACTACACAACCCCCAAACAACGTCAACTGTTTCGTTTTCCGTTTCTTGGGCGGTGGTGAAGACGACATTATCACAGCTAACCTGTCACTTTGCCATGGCCATGCGGTTCACAACTTCCTCAACTTCTCTCTCGACAAAGAACAAACTTCAGGCACGGCCAGTCAAAATTCACATTTCTTGTATAGCCATTTAGACGTCCGCGTGCAGGGATCGGCGAAACTTCAGATATTTACATCGATATTTTTCTGATGCTCGAAAAGACGCACATGGCTCAAACCCCCTCCCCCCCCCCCAGACGCACCAATATCGTCTCTAAAAAAACATCGATATTTACGGACGGCCCCTTAGCAAATTAAAGGTTGGTTCACATAAGCAAAATCGGCGCCGCAAGACATCGGCGGTGAGCCAGCTCCCGATCCGTTGCGCATACGGTTCAAGTACCAAATCTACTACAAAGTAGTACAGAATGTGCCCAAATGCTACGACAGGTTTGCCAATTGAAGCTTGAATTCTTTGTTTCTTCAGTAGTTCAAGGTCTTTCGGTGATGGCCACTCGGTGCTACCTTTTACTGGAGATCATGAAAATACTTCTACACATTTTATTGCAGTCTAGTAAGCGATTGTGTCGAAATTATGCTTGCAAACGTTGGTGAAGTAACAAGAACTTGCCAATGTATCCATCATATTTTTTATTTGTTTCAATTGTATTTGTCTCATAAGTTGCACAATGGTCAAGCAGATCATCCGAGAAGGACGGGCTGGTATGCTGACTTATTTGCCACCTTGAAGCGACTACAAGAATGGCGAACGGACCTCCTCTCTAGCTTCAATTTAGGAAAATTTAGGACAAGTATTGGTTTGATATTTTGACAAAGTCTGGCTCCCGGCAGCCAGCGATCACTGGCGCGAACGGTTCACAAACCACTTTTGGTCAAAATTGTACGGGATCGGCGCCGGGGCAGATCGCAAGAGTTGGGCACTGTCCAGCTTTGCTGGCGGTCCCTTGCGATATTTTACCGTATGATTTTGTTATGACTGCACTGGTTCACACAATCGCAATGCGCCGGGAGAGGTTGCAAGATGCCCACCGCCGGTGACTCCCGGCGCGTACCGGCGATATGTGAACCAACCCTTAGAGATAAGAACGAAATGGCGCTTTTAGTGACTTAGAATCTATCCCGAGTCGTATAAATACCACTCGCATCTTCGCGACAGTTACGAAGGTTTTAGTAATCGATCATATACATGATCGTTTGCGGGATATTCGATTGAAATCCGTACTGCGGACAAAACTTCGATTTTCCGGAAAAAAATACGGACAAATATGGACGATTGGCAACACTGCAGAAGTTGAAAGAAAGTTTCAACTTTTGCGACATACGGCGCACGACGTACCTAAATGGAGTACTGTTTTGTACTGTGGGTGCACGTGCAGTTCATAGTAAAGTTACTACTATACAGATTATTATATTATATTACAGTGCATAGGGATGTCGCAAACATCATAAGATTATGAAACGTGTGTCGCTGGGATGTGTCGTGCATTGCGCTTTACGCGATGGCAATGGATTTGCTGTGTGCAGTGGATTCTGTGGTAATTCTGCACGGCGTATGCTAGTTATGACATAGCAAGCATGTGTCACGCAGAATTGCATCAATGGCATCAAGAGTACATAAACCAGAGTGTGTAACTCCGCAGCTAGCTGGTATATGGTACGGTCCACGGCGGATTTTTTGTTGACGTCACCTTTTTCAGTACCTTCTGTAGTGAACATGGAAATGCAGTCGGAGGTCAAGCGGCCCCAGTGCGCTGGTCATGCAGCCGTGAGTTTGCATGCGATCCACATTTGCACTGTGCATGCAACGTTCTGTACACACTGAGGACGCCAGCCCCGGTCATTCGACTGGACTTCCATGTCCACGACAGTACAGGACGCGTGTCGTACAAAGCACGTGCATCATACGCGCTGGAAGACGACTTTCAGTTTGTGTTTTGGCAACTTTTGCTGCATTCAAAATGAAATTTTTAACTTTTTCTCCCGCTTCTGAAGCATCTCACCGTACTCTTAGTGCAAGTTTAGTGAGACTCTGCCGAGTTCACTCGGCCAGACTCGTAGTGCGCGACTCGTACGGTAAGGGCGCGCTCACACTGTGGTCACGTTTCAAATCATGACTGCGACCCCCGGAGGGTGTGCCACGACTTGGTGGCCACATGACCGTATACATGAAGCGTATCTTGTGTACAGCATGGCCCGAAATACGCTCCATTTCTCAATTTCCGGGTGTGTCGGTTCATGGAATTCGGTCGTAGCCATCCTCGACATTCGCACCAGCTGTGGTCCTCACACTCGTAACCTTGTATGCATTCCTTGCTTTTTTTTTGACGCTGTCAATTTTGTTTTAGTTGCCTTGTTGTCAGGTGATCATGGCCAATATCTACAGCATACTCGTTCAATACCATGACAGCTCGGTCCAGCTTTTCGGTTTGGTAAATCATCTTCCCTCACACTTCTGCGAGGATGGAATGCCATTTTTCTCGTTTACGTAGCATTGCTATCCATGCAGTTCTCGTGTTGTACGATGATGAATCTACGTAAGCCAAAGATAACAAACGCAGCTGCATGGTCTGCCACCTACCTGCAGCATTACTATGCAGAGGGCGCAGGCTCCCAGGATGATGTAGTTGCTCTTCACCCACTGCACAAGCGTCGTAGCGCAGCCATTCTTGTACACTAGCTCCTCCATACGCTCCTACAGATGTACCATCGGACAGAATACCAATAAGCCCATTGCGCAATGACATATTTTGTACCGCAAACACCCCACACAGCCACCTGGGCATGGTCGTCTGGGGTGTTGAACAGTGCATCCCTGGACCCTGATCCCAGCGTACTCACATG